CCCCCCCCCGCCCCAATCCCCTTTCCTTGTGCTTCACCTCGCGAGGATTTCATCGTGAGGCAAATTGATATTTTTTAACTTCGGGAGGGCCACGCCGCCTTCTGTGCTGCATGGAAAACATTCCACGTGCCCCGTCCCGCGCCCGCCTCCCCCGCCCCATGGCTATTTATCCCTTTCCTGGTTTCCGAAAAGGCACTTATATCTATTATGTATAAATAAATATATTATATATGAGTGTGTGTGTGTGTGTGTGCGCGCGCGTGTGAGCGTGTGAGCGCTTCTACAACCTCGGCCTAGGTCGCGTTGGGCCCCAAAGCAGTGTGCCGTTTGAATTGGAAGAACGCTGCTTCTGGAAACTTAGGAGTCGGCCCCTTTCAGGCTGTCTCTAATGATCCTCTCGGCCCCTCTGGTTGTTTCTGGCAGTCTGTGGCTGTTGTCTCTTTCTCGAGGGTCTCTTCCACTCCAGTCTTTTCTCTGCCTGTGTTTTTTCACCTGGTCGTTTCCATCTGTCTCTCTTCTGACTGTCCCCGATCGGCCAGCTGTCTCCTGACTCTCTGGGTTTTGTTGGGGACATGAGATTTTCTTTTTGGTGAGTGAGCCTGAGGGATCATAGACTTTTACAATCTGTATCCTTAAGGATTCTGAGTGTGAGTGCAAGACTGTGAGCAGGGCCTGGCCCCTGCCTGCGACAACTTACTGAATCCCCAGCCCCCCAACCCCCTGCTGTATTTGTGATTCTCTTTTTGTATTTTGCACCTGACCCTGGGGGGCGCTGGGGGCTGGCTGGCACTGGGCCACTACCCTCCCCCCCATGGTTCTGCACTGTCGCCAATAAAAAGCTCTTAAAAATGCATCTGCCAAGCTTCAGGGTCTGTTTGCTCCCGGTACCCATCACCTGCCCTCCTTTGGTGGGAGGGGGTGAGGTTAGATTGAGATTGCAGACGAGGTTTATCCTTACGAATCAGTCTACGGCAGGACAACAGGACACGGGAGGATAGACAGCCAGAGGGCTTCCCACAGGGCACGCCTCCTCTTGGAGAGGATGAGGCAGAATAGTAGGCGTGAGATACTGACATGCCCAAGGATGTTTCAGAGGCTTCCTGGCAAACGAGGAACTTAGGCAGAGCCCTATATGCTCGGGGTGACCTTAGCGAAGGTCGAATAGGTAGAGAAGCTCGAAACATCCATCCCAAATTACTGAAGATCACCTAAATATAGTATCGGGGGTCCTCAGGGTTATAGGAACCACAAATTCATGGCTCCCTTTCCACTGAAGACGAATTTCCTTTTACGCTTCACATGATGATTTTTTCATTTTTGAACGTGCAGGGGCCCACCTAAAATTGAACCCAAAATAGATGAGCCATCCCCAGTGCAAAATTCAAGCCCTATCTTATTTGCAAGCAGCAAGTACTCTGGGAATTAAGTGAGGGGCCATAGGTCATTCAGATGCCTTCGTAAAGGAATAAGCAGAAGTTGTCGTGATGGAATCCCTAAATTTATTAATCAATTTGAAGCATTTGCCAAATACCTACTGCGTGCCCAGCCCGGTGCCGGGAGGGCCGGAGACACTGCTGGGACTGAGACAGCGCCAGGCTCTCCCCTCCTAAGGTTCCCAGGCCAGTGAGGGACACAGACCTCTCGGGGATGATCCAAAGCGCACAGGGTTGGGGGAAACCATGGGGCGCGGAACCTGATCTGGGAGTCAGGAAAGACTTCCGTGAGGAGAACAGCTGAGCTGAGTCCTGGAGGCTGAACAGAGGACATAGAAGGGGATAGAAAAAGACGCAGTGTGCACACAGGACAGTTAGTGCGGACAGGGCTTGATACGTTGAGGGAGGTAGAGGTTCACAGTGGCTGGAGGAAAAAGTGTAGAGAAGCAAGCCACTTAGCGAAGACACGATTCTGCAGTCTTAAATTTCAGACTAAGAATTTAGATCTTCTCCTGAAGCCACCGGGGGGTGGTGGTGGGGTGGTGGGGGGGGGGTGAGTCATGGCAGGTTTTGAGCACAAGAAGGGTAGGGGCGGGTTTGTGCTTTAGGAAGACCACTTTCTTTCTTTCTTTCTTTCTTCTTTCTTTCTTTCTTTCTTTCTTTCTTTCTTTCTGTTTCTTTGATTCTTTCGTTCTTTCCTGTCTCTTTTCTTTTCTTTCTTTCTTTCTTTCTTTCTTTCTTTCTTTCTCTTTCCTTTCTTTTTCTTTCTTCTTTCTTTCTATCTCTTTCTTTCTTTCCTTTCTTTTTCTTTCTTTCTTTCTTTCTTTCCTCCTTCCTTTCTTTCTTTCATTTTCAAAAAATTTTCAATGTTTATTTCCCATTGAGAGAGAGACACACACACACACACACACACAGAGCCGGCAAAGACAGAGAGGGAGACACAGAATCCAAAGCAGACTCCAGGCTCTGAGCTGTCAGCAGGGAGCCCGACATGGGGCTCTGGCTCACAGACCATGAGATCATGACTCGAGCCAAAGTCAAGAGCCAGACACTTAATCCACTGAACCACCCAGGTGCCCCGTTCCTTGCTTGCTTGATTTTTTTCTTTTCTTTTCTTTTTTAAAAAATATTTATTTACTTAAATAATCTCTACACCCAATCTGGGGCTGGAACTCAAGACCCCAAGATCAGGGGTCATATGCTCTTCTGACTGAGCCACCTAGGAGTCCTGTAGGAAGACTGCTCTAACCACCAAGCTGAGGGTAGTTGGCAAAGGGGCAAGACAGGGGCAGGAGACCCGGGCTAGGCGGGGACACCCGTGTGTGCTGCTGGGGAAGCCCAGAACAGGGGCAGGGCTACGAGATAGGAGGAAAGGACGGAAAAGACATTAGGAGGCAGAATAGACAGGACATGGTGAAAAGCTAGCTTGAGAAAGAACAGGGCAGTGGTGACTAGCATGGGCCAGCGGTCTGAGAGGCCCGGGGCTGGAGGCCTACCAAAGCTGGGTGACCTTGGACAAGAGACTTCATCTCTCTAGACCTCAGTTTTCTCGGCAGCAGAATGGGGCTATGAGGAGTCAGTGAGCTCATGCATGCCAATACCGAGTGCAGAGTGAAGGTGCAAATATCACCATCCTCACTGCGTTGGGGCCACCTTGATCCCTGCCCTGGGATATCCCCGCCTTCCCTTGGCTAATCCTTGCTCATCCTTCAGGGATCTGCCCAAATATCACCCTGACGCCTCACCCGAACCCAGGTCTCCTTCCTAGATGGCCTCTAAGTTCATTACTTGCCTTCTCAGTAGTTGGCATCTTTGTAGCTGTTCAGTAAATGTGTAATTAATGATTACTTACTGTTTGTCTCCTTCACTGGACTGGGAGCACCAGAACCGGGACTGCCATCAGCTCTGTGTCGCCAGCACTGCCCAGTGCAGGACCTGACACCCAGCAAATACTTGTCAAATGAATGAATGAATGAATGAATGAATATTTGACCGATTAATAAATACACGTGTGAGCAAATGACTGAGGAATAAGCAGGTGATAAGGGAGAGAGCCGGCAAAAGTGTAACCGTAGGAAGAGACCCGCGTGCTGAAAGTTAAAACTGTGAGGCAGAGGGTTGCAGTGACATTTTTAGGCACCGGGTAGAGGGATGTTCTCTTGATAGCCCGTTCTAGTATCCAGTTTGAAGGGAGTAAAACGGAAGTCGTTGCCGCCCGAAAGGTGGAATTGAACCACTCTGTCGCTAGACAGCTACAGGTTTGAAGCCTGCACCCCAGACCACTGAGGATCATCCGGGCAAGACGCACGCTCCTCCACACAGCTATATAAAACCCAAGAATCCATATCTTTTTAGACTTATGGTCACATACTTTAGGCTGGTGTGAGATTGTTGATTCTGGTATCTATAAATTCTCCCCGGCTAGGGCACATATCCTTCCAGAATGTTACCTTTCTCTTACATGGCACGAATCATCCTCCCTTTGGAAACCATCTTCATTTGCATAGCGCCGCGCATTCTGGGAAGCGGTGTTCGAGGACGCGGCCCACTTACTTCTAGGTGTTAAAGGGCCAGAAGCCCCTTTTTCCAAGTGAGAGGTTTTTTTTGTTCTTGTTTTTGGTTTTGTTTTTAAGAGGAGAAACTCATAATTCGGCTTTCAGAAGACTCTTCCCCGAAAAAATCCGAATTCGAGTGAACGAATGTCAGCTAGAGTTTGACTTACCCCAGCCCGAGACGCCGGCGAGGCGGTTATAGAGCTGGTGCGACACCTGCTGTTCCTTTGAGGAATTTCAACGACCTACGGAGCCCTGTTCGTTCAGCTATTTATTGAGCGCCTACTAAGCCCCAGGCACCGTCCTAGACAGCGTAATGACAGCAATTCTGTCCCCATTGAGCTTAGCCACTGGAGATCATCAATTTCTGCACCTATATTTTTATGGCCAAGGAAACCAAGGCTTAGCAACGTATGGTATCGAACCCTAGTTCACACAGCCTATCCCCCAGGGGAATCCTAATGGCTAAGACCAAAATCGCGACCCTTTTATAATCTAAGTCAGTGATCCTTTGATCCTTTGACAACACTGTCGTTCCGGACCATATGAAACCTACCTGGGGCTCAAGTTCCCACCATAGCCTTACAAATCCTTATATTCTCGTTCTGTTCACTCCTCTGACCCCATCTCCTACTCCTTTCTCCTCATTTACTTGGCTTTCTGGCTTCTAGATCTCCTGCTGCCCGCACCAGGCATACTTTTTTCTCAGGGCCATTGCGTTTGCTGATCCCCTGCCTGAATCTCCTTTCCTCCACACGTCCACATGACTCACTGCCTCCCTTCATGCTGGCCTTCACTCAAATACCACCACTTGGTGAAGCTTTCCCTGACCGCTCATTTAACGTTTATTTATTTTGGGGACAGAGAGAGACAGAGCATGAACGGGGGAGGGGCAGAGAGAGAGGGAGACACAGAATCGGAAACAGGATCCAGGTTCTGAGCCATCAGCCCAGAGCCTGACGCGGGGCTCGAACTCACGGACAGTGAGATCGTGACCTGGCTGAAGTCGGACACTTAACCGACTGCGCCACCCAGGCGCCCCCTTGACCACTCATTTAAAATAGCAAAGACCCTTCATTCTATCCCCTTACCCTGATGGACTTTTCTCCATCACTCCAATCACCACGTGCCATGTTCTACGTCTGTTTGCTTATTGTCTGCCTCCCTCTAGAATAGCGGTTCTATAAAACTATGGACTTTGTTTTGGTTTATTTCCATGTCCCTACTGCCTAAAGAGTGCTTGAGAACTTAGCAGATGTTTGGAGACAGGTAAATGTTTGTAGGATGAATGAAAGGTTATTATCATGATCCTTCTCTGAACCTGAGTTTCCCCAACTGGAAATCTGATTTCACTGGAGGAATCACAATGAGCAGAGGGACATAAAAGGCTGGGAGGCACTCAATAAAGGCTGTTTCGGGGCGCCTGGGTGGCGCAGTCGGTTAAGCGTCTGACTTCAGCCAGGTCACGATCTCGCGGTCCGTGAGTTCGAGCCCCGCGTAGGGCTCTGGGCTGATGGCTCGGAGCCTGGAGCCTGCTTCCGATTCTGTGTCTCCCTCTCTCTCTGCCCCTCCCCCGTTCATGCTCTGTCTCTCTCTGTCCCAAAAATAAATAAACGTTGAAAAATAAATAAATAAATAAAGGCTGTTTCAATCTCCAACCTGTTGCCAGCTTCTAGTGCAGGTGTCAAGGATGGGCCTGTGGGCTTTAGCCATTCCTGGACTCGGTAATTTCAACCAGTCCCTCTTACAAAGCGACACTGTCTTATGGAAAGTATGAATAGAAGCATCTTTAAGAAAAATTGCTTTTTTAAAACTATTGCTTTTGTTTATTTGTTTGGAGAGAGACAGAGAGCACGTGCGCACACAACTGGGGATGGGGGTGGGGTCAGAGAGAGAGAGAAACCCAAGCAGGCTCCTCTCTATCAGCGCAAAGCCCCACATGGGGTTTGATCCCACAAATTGTGAGATCATGACCTTAGCAGAGATCATGATCTGAGCAGAGATCAAGAGCCAGACGTTTAACCGACTGGGCCCCCCAGGTGCCCCGCTATTTTTTCATTTGGAAATTTAACACATTGACCCTGCCTGGCAAATCTATATTCAAGAGAAGCCCCCTTAAGCCTTCTGTGTGTGTGTGTGTGTGTGTGTGTGTGTGTGTGTATCTAGAGCTGCTGCTAGGCAACCCCTACACACGAAGACTGGGGCTGTAACTACTACTCCTGTAACATCATTATCTATCTCCTAAAATGTGACATGCGTCGCTAGAGGCAAATGAGATGATTTTGGGTGATGCACGAACAAACAGTTTAAATGTTAATAGTTTTGTGTTTATTTTTACTGCTATCTTCTATTTCTGGCAAGTGATCCTGACTTCCTTGGTGGTGAAGTACATTTCTTTTTTAAAAGACATTTGTTTTATTTTTAATTAACCAATTTGAAGGAAAATATTAGATGAAAAATAGAACGGGTGAGAGAAAGATCATGAAGGTCGTGAGGAGATGATCGAGGTTTGGAAACAATGTCACAGCTAACAAGCAGCTTGTGTTTACTGGGTATTTATTATATGCCAGGCCCTGTACCAAGAGCTTTGCATGTAGGCACGGTTATGGTGACAGTTTTTCATTTGAGGAAACTGAGGCTCCAAGAGATGAAGTCACTTGCTCAAGGTCACAGAGCCAAGAGGTAGTGAAGCCTGGATTCAAATCCAGGTCTGTGGGTTGTTAGAAGGTCCAGTCTCCTGCCTCCTTCTCCCTCGGTTTTGGAACCCGAGGCCCAGGCAGGCCATGGGGCCTTTTACCTGGTCCCAAGGCAAGTGGAATAGAGAAGTTGGAGGAGAGACATTTGAGAGTGACAAGACATGGCTTCCTGACTTATTAGATGTTGGGGGCCAGGAACTAGGAATCCAGGACCATACCTAGGTCTCTAGCCTGGTGACAAAGTGGCAGAGGGGCCATCCCTGAGCTGGACATCAGGTAGGACAAGGGAAAGGTTTGGATGTGTTTGTGGAGGGAGTTGTTCCAGAAGGCAGCTGGGCACGGGTCTGGGACTCAGATGAGACTGGCTGCCCCGCAGGCAGAGTGTGGGGATCGACTAGTGATGTCTGCCTTGAGCAGAGACAGGGAAAGTGGCTGTCAAAGGCTTGGCTAGCCCTGGGACCGAGGGTCTCTCAGCATCATCCCCTCAATCATTTCAGAATATAAACAGATTATGAGGGAGCTTCTTCTGGAGAGATGGGAAGATTCCTCCTTGGATATCACTTAGGTGCTTTTCAGTGCAGGAAGGTGAAAGCTGGAGGAGGCTGGAAGCACAGGAGGCCTTGGGTTTTCCACAGGAGTCTTTATTACAGTGTAAATCCAAGCTCAGGCCTCCCCTGGGCCCCATGCAAAGCCCTGGCTTTGGGGCTAGTGGCGTCCAGGAGACACCAATCTCTGACGGCGCCTCCAGCGGCGGGGTCGCGGAAGTGCAGGGCGGGCGCCCTATCTAGGCAACTACAACTCCCAGCAGGCGCCGCGGCCAAGGTGCCTCGCCTTTCCTGGACTCCTAGAGCAGAGCCTCTTGGGAAATGTAGTCCTGGCCGCTCAGGCAATTTGCACAAACTCCCTGGTGCGAGTGATCCAGACACCCGCCGGGAAATGGCTCGGGCGGAGGCGGCGGGAGGGTGGGGATGGAAGGGAGATGGAGTTGGGCAGAGGGCTGCGGGGGATGGGGGCAGGCGTCCCGAGGGCAGAGACACCCCTTTCATTCGGCTTTGGCTTTGGATCCAGAGACTGCGGCTGCTGCCGAGGCAAGGGCTCCGGACCCTGGGATCTTAGCTCGGATCCTGAGGGAGAAGCAAGCGGAGTCACAGGTTGGAGCAAGAGACCCATAGGAATCTGAGAACTAAGGGGAAATCGGGACGGGGGAGCTAGCTGTGGGCCCAAAGCCAGCCCCTACCCTTCACCTAATGGCCTGCATTGGGATTGTCTGTCTCCCTTTGAGGAGGGGGCATTGGCCCCAAGAGATTTAGGAATAGGTAATATCTGGGGGAAAAAATTCCTAAGCTTCCCCCTCCCCCAGCCCATCCGTCTCCATTCCGTGCCCTTACTTAGCTTTGATGTGGCTCAACTGATTGGTCACCAATCCCACATACTGGTCCATCTGGGCCTGGGGAGACCAAGAAGGAGAGATTGGAGGGGTTCTTCTCCCCAGTTCATTCAGGAGGCTGCCTCCTCCCCCACCTCCACTTGAGAAATTGGGGAAGGTGGTCCACTACTCAACTCGAAACCTAGCACCATACCCTCGGAAATCAGAAGTTCGAGCCGACGTGTCCGTCAGTTGGGCCAAGCTCTGCGTGGGGAATGATGTCAGGTAGACAAGAATTTGCCAGTAAGTCTGCTTCCTGGGCATGACTATGAATCTCTGAGTGAGTCCTACGTGAGTGCGTCTGTGTGTGAGTCGGGTGAGAGTAGAGGGAACCAGCGTTAGCTGCCAAGTTCCTGCGTGGATTGACTTAAATGCTGGTTCAATTCACAGTGTTACTGACTTTCGGAGTCTTGATGATGCCGGCATGGGAGGGACTTAGGACTGTCTCTGGCAGACACGTGTATCACTTGGTCGTCAGCTGTGCTGGAGAAGGGATCGTCAGTCTGCCTGTCTCCGGATAGGATATATGTCGGTTAGCCTCTGGTTCTGTCAGTGTTCCGGACAACAGTCCTCTGGCCGGATACTGACCTCGAGGTCAGTCCCTGGCAGTTTCAGGGTGAAAACATCAGTTAGGCCACCTGCCTTGGGGTGGGGCATGTCAGTCACACCCTGACTCTTTCGGGGCAGAAACACCAATTGGTCCTCCTGTCTCTGACAGGGACATCCGTCCACAGGACCCTGGCTGTGGCAGAGGGGGTGGGGGTCATCAGACCACCCATATTTGGCTGGGACACTGCCGACCGAGGTCCTGTCACACTCACCTGGTGTTGCCGGTACAGGAAGGGGACAGTGAATAAACCGATCACTCCTGTAGGCACAGAAATGGAGGTCAGGGTTCTCCTAAGACATTAGCAGTTCCAACTAGAACCCTGTCCCCCCACCAAACCCCAATGACCCACTTCCCCACCTGCTCCCCACAGCCTTCCCGGCTCACCCAGAATCAGAAGAGTCAAACCATTGAAGACGGCACCCACGAAGGTCAAGATGTAGAAGAGAAGGGCCAGCTGGGGGGGAGGGTCAGGTCAGGGTCAGCAGAGCCTAGGGGCACTCCCCAGGTTGCGAACTTACCCAGCAACGGCCCTCCTACCCCCCAAGGGCAGCAAGGCGAATGGTGGGAACCCAGGAGGGGGTAGGAGGGAGTGTAGGTTTCGAGGCACCTTGAGGGAGTCCACAATGTCCTCTACCAGGAAGAAATGCCGCAGCTGGATGGCCAAAGAGACCACTCGGGAGGCAATCTGCTGGGACAGACGTTCCATCTGCTCCCGAGTCAGGGTCAAGTCCACATCCAGATAGGCCCTGAGAGGACAAAGGGGTGAAAGGCAACTCAGTGTGTGGAGCAGCCCAGGCTGAGGGTTGTGGCCGGGACAAGGGCAAGAAATAGGGGTTGAGGACCTAGCCCAGAGAGGGCTAGGGTCAAGGTCAGGGTCAGGAGATGGGATGGAGGATTCAGGGTAAGAGGTTAGGATCGGAGGTTAGGGCTGGAAGTCAGGGTCAGAATGAGGCTGGAGTCAGAAACACGAATAGGATGGGTCACGAGCAGCGCCTGATTTGAGGTCGAGGGTCAGCCCGCCCAACACTGGGGTTCAGACCGAGGTCGAGGTTAAGGGCCGGGGTTCTCACTGGAAGGGGTTGGCACCGTCGCCCCGGTGCACGGCCTGCAGCACTTTTCGGTAAACCCTGAGAGAGATGGTGCCACAGAGCAGCAACAGGGCCACGTGGGCGGTCACGGACACGATGCTAAAGTGCAGGAGGCAGAGGAGGGAGACCATGAGGCCTGTGAAGACCACGCCTGACGTCCTTGTGTCCTTCCAGTACAGCAGGTCCGCCACTGTGGAGGGAGAGGGGGCGATCAGGCTGGGCTTTGGACCTGGCCTGGCTGATCTCTTGACCTCCCCCTTCCCAACTCGGGGCTGAACCATGACGTCTCGACGCATCTGGCCTGAGCCTGAACTCAATTTCCCCATTTCCCGTTGTCTTCTTTGATTCGGAGCTGCTTCCCCTCGTCTCCTGGAAAACCCAAGGTAGCAAGTCCCCTCAGTCTCCGTCCCTCCCATATGTTATGGGTGGATACAATTGTTAGTCATTATTTATGGAAAATGGAATCATCTATATACTTCTTTTGGGTTTTGCTTTTGCTTTTTAGTTAGAGAGAACGCGTGCGAGTGCGGGCGAGGGGCAGAGGGAGGAAGAGGGAGAGAGAATTCCAAGCGGGCACCACGCTCAGCACGGATCCCGACCTGAGGCTGGATTCCCACAACCCTGGGATCATGACCTGAGTGGGAATCAAGTCGGACACTCAAACAACTGAGCCACCCAGGTGCCCCTTAGTTCATTCTTTTTAAGGGCCCCATGAGATTCTGTAGTGTGGCTGCACAATCATACATTTCATTCAACCGTGTATTATTGCTGGGTCATTCACTTAGTTTCTTAACCCTCACTCCTCCACCGCGGTGCACGCACCAGCCTTCTACAGATGTTCTTATGTTCTGCAGGGAGGTTCTATTTCTGAGACAGAATCCCAGAGGTGACATGGCTGGATGGACTGGTTATGGATTTTTGAACGCCGTAAATATTATCAGATCGCTTACGAGCAAAACTGTTAACAGTTTGCATTTCCACGAGCAACTTTCAGAGTGATCTTTTTGCAGCATCCCGCCCAGCAATGGTTATTCTTGTTCTTTTGGTGGTTTTTGCCAGTCTGACAAGTATAAAGTGATAGCTGCTTGAGACTCCCACCAACACCCTTCTCTAAGTCCTAAATGCATTAATAACAACATCCTCCTTAAATATATATATATATATATATATATATAAAACAACATCCTCCTTTCTAAGCCCTAACTCAAATTTCTGACTCCTTTCTGAGATGCTAAGCTCACCTCACAAGCCCAACCTGAGCCCTGACCAATGACTTCCAGACTCCAACGTTTTATTGATTTCTTTTTAAATGGGCTCTATGCCGGACGTGGGGTTTGAACTCATGACCCTGAGATCAAGAGTGGAGATCGAGAGTTACATTCTCTACCGACTGAGCCAGCCAGGCGCCCCTCCAACGTTTCACTGTGCCCATCTAAACGTTTAACAGCCCTCCCAATAATATGATCCCATCTGAGCCTTGAACCCTTCCAGACCCCCTCCACCCTCACTCTGATGGAACTCTGACCCGTCTTGACTGGTGCCCCTCAGAGTCTGACTCTCCTCACTTCTGTATCTTCCTTATACATAGTCTCCCATCTACCTCTAACTAGGGCAGGCCTCCCCCCACCCGCAATGCAGGGCCCTCCCCTGCAGGCTCCCCAAGGCCTGTGCCAGTGGGTGGAGGAGGGGCCGGGTCGCCTGAGGCGGGGGCTAAGTTTAGGCACGCTGGGGGGAGGGGGCCTGGCCCACAGCTGTGCTGGCCTGTCCAGCTCCTGAGTGACAGCACCGCCTGGGCCTGAGGCTGGGGGAGGGGGCCTCCCTGCTCTTGGGCCCCAAAGCCTCTGCCCCGGGGAGAGAGGACCCCACGCTCCCTCCACGCCCTCTCTAGACACCCCTACAGCCCCCCAGCCCCAGCCTGCAGCGCTGGGGAATCCGGGACCAGTAGGAAACATACCGGCAGATTTGAGGGACATAAGAGAGAATCTGGACCCATTTACACAGTCCCCCAACCCCAGTCCCCCCAGCCCGCTCCGAAAGCCCACCTTTACTCCCCATCTCCGCTCCGAGTGAGTGAGAGGCTGCGGACACCGCTACTTCTCAGGTATTTTGCCCACTTCGGTGGAACCCGGAGGGAGGGAATAGGGGGCGGGGCCCCTTTGGACCCAGCCAATGGCTCTCCACAGGGGTGGGGACAGTTCCAAAAAGGGGTGGCTCTTTTGGTAAACACCCGAAAGCAGTGATGTCTATCACCAACCCATGGCGTTTATGGAAGCTAAGCGTATTTTAGAGAAAGGTGGGGTCTACACTGGCCAGTGGATACGGTGAGGCAAGAGGAGAGTTTTTAAAAGGAGTAGAGTTTACTTATAAATGCCCCACGGCCACATCCAGAAGACAGCCTTCCCCCTCTCCGCCCCCCCCCCCCCCCCAGGGGATCTGTCCTGTCCAAAGTCAGCCTCTAGGAGGAGCACTCCAAAAGAGGGATGATTATTATTATTTTTTTTTTTTAGCAATCAGCCAATCCTAAGGCTCAAAGCAGGGCTAACTTCTCAAGTGGGAGGGCGAACTATATAAAGAGCCAATGGCAATCTTAGATAACGGGAAAAAAAAATTTTTTTTTAAAGGATGGAGTTTATACCTAGCCAACGTCCACACCTCCTCTTCTCCGCCTCCTCACTTCCTTCGCAAGGTTGGTCCCTTTAAGTTCCATTTCTCCTACCCTCTCTGTGATTCAAAAGAGAACCTTTACTTTACCTAGAAGGAGTGGTTCCAATGTGAATTCTGATTGGTCCGTGCTATCCAGGCACTGCCCCGTGATTGGCTCCCGCTCCAGAGGCCCCCACGGCTCTTCCTCTTTCTGGGCCAGTGAGGGCTCATCAGGCCAAGAGTTCGAATCCCGGGATTGGGATGGGGACGGGGTACCCGCCTGGGGAGTTCCAGAGCCAGGGCTGGGCTGCGGAGTCAAGACTGCCGGAGGCGGAGACTGAGGGACCCCGTGTTGCAGGTCCAGTCCTGGCAGTTAGAGAGAGAAGGCTGTGTGAGCTTTCGCCTTGGAGGTGCCCTGAGGAGAGACCACCCACCCCTGGTGGCTTCGATCCCAGAACCTCGGACATCTCACCTTTCCCAGCCTCTCCAACCTCCGATCCGTCAGGGTCCTCGTCCTCCAGTGGAGTGGAGCTACTGGTGGCAGAATCTTCCCCGGACCCTGCTCCCCGGGCCGCCCAGTCCAGCCGGTCGAGCTGGA